ATCGGCACTTGAAACCGGGAGGACCACCGGCACCGACAGGTTAATAACCCCACCTATAAACAGAGGAAAGATGCATGGTGCATATATCAACCAGACTGACGCTTTGAAAAATCGACCGCTTTTAAAGGCCTAAAAAGAAAGAGTCCTATGACCTATGGGGCAAGATAAGAGAAAGAACTCTTGAATGTGAAAGTGGTGAGTTTTCTAAGAAAGTAAGAGGTCCAACACCTTGATTAAAGCAATATGAGCGGGAAGCTTTTAAAATCCATTTTCAGGATGAAACACACACACACATAGCAGAAACAGCTGTTTTCCATAAGAAAGAGCCCTGCGAGCATCCCATTTCAGCTCATTTCAAATTAAACTAGTATCAGGACGCAACATGCACAAATCTGTCCGCTTCATAAAGATGGCAGTCTGGTCCAACAAGAGTCCAACTGGGCATATTGTAAGGATCAAAACAATAAGACAAGGTGTGATGTACAGTAATCAAGTCTAATGACGCTGTTGATGTAATGCATGAACACCTAATGCCTTTCTTTTCCTGTATTCTGTCACAACTAAACGCAAGCATCTACTAGGCCCACTTTTTTATCTTAATAGGTGTGTGTGTGTGTTTTTGTGACATATGAGGACACAAATTTGTATAATGACATGGGTATGACATAGGTATTACAAGGAGAAGGTGATTTATGAGGACATTGCCCCATGTCCCCATATTTCAAAAGGCTTATAAATCATACAGAATGAGTTTTTTTGAGAAAGTAAAAATGCACAAAGTTTCCTGTAAGGGGTAGGGTTAGATATATGGCGATAGAAAATACAGTTTGTACAGTATATAAACCATTACGCCTATGGAATGTCCCCACAATTCACAAAAACAAACGTGTGTATGTGTGTGTGTGTGTGTGTGTGTGTGTGTGTGAGTGAGAGAAAGTGTCAATGCATACCTTGGACGCAAATTTGAATACTAGGCAAGACAACACTCAGCAGAGCCTTATGAGGCTGTAAAACTAAATTGACACTTTTTGGAAACTCAAGCTTGATGTGGGAAATTGCTGTAATTACCCGGTTCTATAAATGCGAGGACCGCATTATGGTTTTAAAAAGCCATTCGCACATTTGTCGTTCTTGTAATCAAAAAGGTGCCGACTTTTTATTTCAGATGATCGGGTTTCTGAAACTGGCTTGAGAGCATGTGATCAACATCACCCAAGCCTCCATTAAAACTATAATAGCTCTTTTATTTCTACCACTAATTAACATTTAAAATCCACTTGCTGAGCCTTCAGATTCCCTCACAGAAATTAAATGTTTTTTTGCGATTGGACCCCCATTCTGAGTTGTTCTCCTGATTCTACCCTGAAGTTCTGAAATATTAGTAGATTATTAGTAGGTTCTTGGGTTTCTTCATGCTCCACCTGATGTTGGTTTCTAATCAATTTGCTTAGGTTTTCTGTTTTACATAAATGTGCAAAATATTTCTGAAAACTGTTTCTTCCCTCTGTCATCGTCCATTAAAAGAAAACGATTCAGTGAATCCAACCAAGTGGAAAAGATGATGCACTTCTGAATGTAATAGTGGCTGGCAGAAAAAGGTGCATTGCACTGTCGAACGTCGCCATCTAGTGGTGCATTCAGAAGACAGCGCATGAAAAATAAATCAAAGCCATGAGAAGATACAAGATCACACACATAAGGTCATCTGTTTACCGTCAAGCAGACAGTTGAAGTGCAGACACTGTAGGTACTCTCCCTCCCTCATGAAGCCGTTCAGAGGAGTGGCCCAGCCCTCAGCGAGCACCTGAACCCACTGCATGTCCACCTAACGCACCAACACAGAACAGACATTAGCTGTAAGGATGTACGTAAGTCATGCCTTATTAAGTCATAATGTGTTTGCAAACCATTTGCAGGAGTTTAAATCTGTATTTGAGTGGCATATGAGGAGCGAAGATACCTTAGTGATCTCCACTACTTGAAGAGTCTCAGCATCAGCCTTTGCCAAGTCCAGCTTGTTCTCTTGCACATAGAGCTCCTTGACCTCGTAGGATGCGTCCACAGGAACTATGTCCTGCAAACAGTCAAAACATTATCAAACAGAGATCATTGTCATTTATATCCAAGTATGATGAAAGGATAAGAGACACTGCTAAGCCAACTTGCAACTTTTTCTATAAGAATCAGTGTTAAAGTACAACTGTGGCCTTGTGTTCATTAAATAAGGATGTCAACGTACAGTGCATAGAAAAATATCCCATCAAGTAATGTGATAATGACTAAGTTAACATGTACTTAAAATTCAGTTTAAGGCCATATTTAGAATATGATGGTTAAATGCTTGAAGGCATCAAAATAAGTCAATTTATTTCATTAATTCTATTTAAAAAATAGAATTGCTGTCTTGTCGGCAACACAGAAATGCATCCATTTAGCCATGAGTTGCCACTGCTAAATAAACTACAGTTCAAATGTTTGGAGTCAGTACAATTTTTTTTTTTTTTGAAAGAAAGAAAGAAATACTTTTATTCAGCAAGAAAGCATTTAATTTATCAAAAGCAACAGTTAAATACATTTATAATGTTACAAAATATCTCTATTTAAAAAAAAACGCAATTCATCAAAGAATCCTGAAAAAATTAATCACTGTTTGTTTCTACAAAAATATTAGGCAGCACAACTGTTTTTACCATTGATAATAATATGAAATGTTTCCTGAGCACCAAATCAGCATATTAGAATGATTTCTGAAGACTGGCGTAAAAATTAATCTTTGCCTTCACAGGAATAAATTAAATTTTTTTTTGAAAGAAAAGTGTTAGTTATGTTATAATTATCTCCTTTCATTGGATTTTGTGAATAAGGTTTATCCCATTAACTGTCACCGTCCCACCTGTGGGATGCTTGGCGCTCTTTTTTTTGTTGTCCTTTTTCTCTATCAAATCTTTTAGTAATCATCATAAATTATATATAATTATATAGAAGTAATATTGACAGAGAAATCTAGACATTTGTGACAGAAAAATGCATTAAAAAATTCAATGGAGTTTGGATGGCACCCGGTGGCTGTTTGTGGTATAACGCCCTAAATAAAATCTCACAGGAACCTCAATTTTTTTCATATCAACTTCAAACTTGGAACATAACTTTAGACATAAGGCTTTAATTTTATACCAATTTTAGAGTAAAACCTGTTATGTAAAATATTTATTATATATAAAATAAAATGAATATAGTGCATTTTATTTACAGTAAATTTAAACTTCTATAACTTTTTGATACTTACATTTTTTGAAAAACTTCCACTTTTGCAATAATCTGCTGATTTTCTGGATTCCAAAGTGTTCATAAATTACAACAATTTAAGTTTGGATAGTGCACTTTCATGCCTATTTTAAAAATGGGGGGTGACAGTTAAGGGGTTAAACATGTAACTTTTAATTAAAACAGGCTTATTCCAGGGATTGTGGCATTTACATGACTTCATACTAACTGTTCATTTGTACCATTCAGATTAGTATCAAAATATTTCTTTGCACGTAAACATACTCATTGATGTGACAAACACTTCTGTGCCAAGTGCTGTTCGACTGCCTGCAACCGGTCATTTGAAATATGCATTATATTGTAAACCAAGCGAGACATTTAAATCACAATCTCCAAATATGCTATGAAGATATATATAGCTGAGGCTCACACTGAATTCACTTTAACATGAATGAAAGGAGTGAACTTACCCTCTCCTGCAGGAGGTCCAGAAGCTGCTGGATGCATTCGTTCACATTGCAAGAATCCGTCTTCAGTACAAGTTCAGGGGCCTCTGGCTTCTCATACTCCGAGTCTATTCCAGTGAACCCTGAGGACAACAAGAGTAACCCGTTATATTAAAAACCCAAGCAGAAACAGACATACTTTGAATGCACTTCATGAAAACAAATTTTCAACAGTTCAGTTCTTAGTAGCGCTGAAATTATTTGTTGTTTTCTACCACCGTACAAAGCAGCTCAGATGCACTGTGCATGTATCAGTTAACATGTACATGAGAGAAAGACACTTCCTGCTATAAACCTCAATCATTTTCATCACAAGATGTTAGCAGCTTTCAGATTTGCATCTTTCCTGTATCACTCTTCACCTGATTTACCCTTACTTATTCTGCGGCTCCACAGCAAAAGAAATTAAATCAAAAACAAAAACAGCAAGAAACACAGTCACAGTCATCTCCTACCAGAAACCTGCTTTCCAAGAATCACCCCAATCTCTTCAGGAAACCAAAAGGGTTGTGATGAATCACACTGAATTGCAACATCAAAATGTTTTGTGTGACCTCTCAAAGACCTTACACTTATTCTCAAACTACTCACACAGTGCTAATATCACAATTGTGCTTCCCAATATGAAATGCTACGTACACCAATAAGCCCACAATCTCCGATTTTAAACATTTTGCAAAAATGTAAGAACTCTTGTTCTGTTCTATCTTCAGTGCCTCAAAACATTCCAAGGCCCTTGTCTTGTCTCGTTTAATCATTTCACATATTTCTGCACAAATAGGTCACACAAATTAAGAGAATGCTTTGGGTTTGTTGACACAGCACTTTAGGACAGACTGTCCTATAGACTACTGACCATTTAGAGATTAAATTTGAGCCATAAAACACAGCGTATCTACATCAAAAGAGTGAAAATAAGCATATTTGGACACATATTATGTACAATACTTTATGTATCTCTATAAAATTGTCTTACCTCTGATTTCTCCAGCCCTAGCTCTCTTATAGAGCCCCTTCACATCTCTCTGCTCACACACATCCAGAGGAGCATCTACAAACACCTCAAAGAATGGAAGGCCAGCAGCTTCATGGATCTTCCTTGCATTCAGACGATCCTGAGGACATGCAGCAGACAAAAAAAACAAAAAAACAATTGATCAAACATTTAACCTTATAAAGCCTACTGCAACAAAGTTGATACATGCATCTCAAAGGCAAGTACATCTCCCTTCAGGCTGTGGTACATGTGTGTTTAGCTGTGAAATCCATAGTGATTTTTATAGAGTAAATGTGAGAATAACGTGTGAGAATAAGATGAACACTTCCTGGACTGAAGCAACTGAGGTTTACTTGAATATCTTTACATGCATATTGAATATTTCAGTTTGGGCCTCAAGTACGAGCTCCATATTCTCCTATATCAGACTATATGAGCCATAAAAGCCTGACTATAACAGAAAATATAAAACATATTATATTTTTCTGAATATTATTTCATACATCAGGCTTTACACGGTTAAGAAGTCTTACACAAAACGTTCTGCATGTTTCTCACCCTGCTGTATGGGGAAATGAAGCTGGCGATGCACACAAGCCCAGCGTCAGCAAACAGTTTTGCCACTTCTGCGATACGACGAATGTTCTCCTCGCGGTCTTCAGGGCTGAAGCCCAGGTTCTTATTGAGGCCCTGCCTGATGTTATCTCCATCCAGAGTGTAGCAGGGGATGCCATGGCACACCAGATACTCCTCCAGAGCCATGCTGACCGTCGTCTTACCCGCACCAGACAAACCTGAGGATGCAGAACAATAGGTCATGATATTTACTGAAAATTTTAGATACAGCCATGATGGAAACATCGAGTTATTCATTTTCTAAAATAACAGAAGAGGGGTTGATAGAGTACCTGTAAGCCACACCGTGCATCCTCGAAAGCCTCCTCTAGTGCCGACTACCTGGCCACGCTTGTTTCTGCTCACGTGATGGGCTTGATACGTCACATTGGTGGCTCTTTGCATCCCCTGCACAAATTGCAGGAAACACATTTACATCACATTTATTTCATCTGTCTCATCTCTGTTTGATTGACGTAAGAGAAACAATTAAAGTGTTTTCGGTCAAATTTTCAGTTAAAATTTGCACACGTCTCTTGGTGTTATTTTTTAATTGTTATTATTTTTAATTAATTATTTTGTTATATATGCATATATAAATGTAAAAAAAAACATACTTTTAATGCCATAATACATGTACCAAATAAATAAATAAATTGCAGTATCATGGTACCATGCCCAAATAAACATGGTAATTTTTATTGATGATATTCAAAAATACTGCACACACCTATGAACCAAAAACAGTTTGTAGTACCATTGATATAGAACGTGGTATTAAATGATTGCCATATCTATGTACCATGGTATTTACATACTCCAAAGAATACCATTGTACGTTACACGTCCTAGAAGCCATGTTAGTATCGTAGTACATGTCCAAAAAGTGATAATACTCGTACTTGTGCTGCCTAGAAATGCTGTCTAGGTGGGCAGCACACTAGATTGTAAGACACAGGTAATATCTACGCATAAAATTATTATACTTATCTTTTTCATACAACTATCACAACTAAGGACCTCTATTACACAGGCATGATTATTCTGGACTTCGCTTATATTATAAATTAAAACGGGATAGGTCAGATTCAGCATAAGCAAAAACACCATATTCATAACACGAGGTGTGTTACTGTAACTGTACTACATTAGTAATGCAAAACATCCCTCAATATCCAGCCGCTAACAGTTACTCACCCAGCTCTCAGGCGCGTTACTCAGTTTCTGCTTCTTACTCGAGTTACCAGATGTCTCCATTCTGAGCCGCTGAATTCACACTTGATGGATAAACAAATAGATAGTGCGATATATATTCGAAGGGGATGTTTTAATGAAGTGCCGGGTCCACTGTGTCTGTGTATTGAAGCCCAGCAAGGAAGCGTAGAGGTTTACAGGCTGCGGCACAGGAAGTGATGGAGGCCCCGATAAGTCCCGCCTCTCACGCGTCAAGTCTCCGCCTACCAGACCATCGGATTGGTCGGAATGACATCAAAGCCGATTGTGATTGGACAATTGAGAACTCGTTCATATAGCCGTGGAACCCAAAGCAAACAAGTATCAGGTCAAGGGAGGGACTTGTCGGAATGCATGCAGGGGAAAATAATAACGCAGCCAATCATGTTCTGTTTTATATTTTGCTTTGTATAGAAAAAGTCCCTTTAGGCTACATTATTTGTGTGGACCCCACTGACCCAATAAAAAAATTATTAGTGTATGAATATATTTTTTCAATTTTTTTTATAAACAAAACAACTTTTAGGTAACCATCTCTATTACATTTTATGGTTTTTAATATGACTGCTAGTAAATCTTGCATCCTTTATTCATTGTGTCACTGTTTAATTGTGCATTGTTATTCATTGCATATTATAAATGAAACTGTTGTGAAAGATTAAACAGTGTATATATACAAGGTATTTTTTAGGTTAAAATTAGTGCTCTCAAACGATTAATTGCGATTAATCGCATCCGAAATAAAAGTTTTTGTTTACATAACATATATGAGTGTACTGTTTATATGTATTATATATATATATATATATATATATATATATATATATAAATACACACACATGCATGTATATATGTAAGAAAAAAAGTTGTTTATATATTAAAATATAATATAAATTATATGAATATTAATATATACATGTAAATACATGTAAATATTTTAAAAATATATACTGTATGTGTGTGTATTTATATATACATAAGAAATATACACAGTACACACACACATATATTATGTGAACAAAAACTTTTATTTTGGATGCGATTAATCGAGATTAATCGTTTGACAGCACTAGTTAAAATGTATGTCACAATTCTAATAGTGTTTTGCAGTTACATACTACTTAATTACATAGTCCTGTGATGAAGCATATAAAAACTGTATGAAAAAGTGGTAGAATTAATGTTACCTGCCATGTACAGTGATTTTATTTTTATTAGAGACATGCTTCATAGTGGTACAACACAACTATATACCAAAATACTTTTTTTTTTTTAAGTTATACAATACAGTGATGTACAATGTGTACACTCAATGAAAGAATCACCACCTCCACATTGATGCCAATAGTATTGGATTTATTGGCTAAATTGTATGAAGCCTATGTTGAGCATGCTAAAAGGAAGCAGTTGGCTCCTGACATGAAAATTTAAATTAGCATGTATCTACTTGGAGAAGAACATTAGTCTAGTGCCCTGCCCTGCACCTTAAACTAAACACAGCGAGAAGAAACTGAACTTCCCTTGGTCCTCTGAGCGGCTAACACTCCCTGATAAGATCTGAGAAAGTTGTAAAACGAGGAACTTCCACTTTTGGACACCTGAATAGCCATCGCAGGCCTGCCCACTATTGGCCTAACCACCCCTGATCCCTTATTATTTCGCTTTCCCTGATTGCCATTAGAGTGATCCTGAAGTCCTTTAGAGAAACGTCTCATTGTTATTTGCACTTTCCCACACACTACCCTAGGTTGGCTATTAACAAAACCGTTTATTCCCCCTGTATATGATCCAGAGACCACCACATTCCCTTGAGAATTGGGAAGTGTGGGCAGCTTCCTCATGTGTAGATACAGCTTCACAGGTTTACCATAGTACACCCAGCACTGGTTTTTGGATGTTTTTTTGGGGGTTGGCACTGGCTTAACCGTGTTTGGTACTTTATGTATTGTGGTTGTTTGCGCAGCAGAGGTGGGAAAAGGCCTGGCTGCCTCATATTCCACACAGTCACCATCTCGCTCCTCATCCTTCGGTGTAACTTCATAACCTTCTAGAAGAACAACATCCTCACCTGAGCGCTTCTGGAGCTCTGATCAACAGAGGACAATTGGGACTAAAATTCAGTGGTTCTGCCATTCACAATCATAACAAACCAGTGGAAATGTATGACACGTTTACATATATTAGAATGAAAGAATTTAGTATAAAATTCAGAATGGGAATGTACTTACTGTGCAGATCTTTGTGGCAAATAACATTTCCACCTGTGATATAGCACACATGACTTTTAGTTTGAAAAACCTTCAGAACTACTTCTGATTAATTCATAATTTTAGCATAGGTTTAGCTTCAAAATTAAGACTAAAGGAGGTCATTGATTCAGTTAAGCATTAAAACATTAATGTAAACTATAGTTTTCAGAAACATACCTTCTGTATTATATGGCTGTGAGGTGAGAATAACCAGTGCAGCAAGCATTCCAAGAGCAATGTTAACATCCATGGCTGCAAATGAAGCAACGATCCTGTCAACGTGCCTTTTATAGGCCTATATTTTAAACCTGCCCTTGTGGAGTGCCACAAATTGTGAAATGACCTGAGGCATTGACTAAATGACTTTATTTGTTAGGGAAAAAAAAAACATTTTAATTATGTCTGAATATCTGTTGAGACTTCATTTGTATGTGGCTGGAGTGTTCGCTGTTCTAACAGGTGTTGGGAGTTGATTTCACCACTGAGGAGCAAAGACAAATAAGTTGGTGACCTAGATCTGGGGAAGCAGGGGCACTTTTATGTGGAGGTTAGGTAACCAAATGTTTCTACACATGCACCCAGGGTGGGCTTGAAATCAAAGAGGAACTGGCAGACAATGGAGAGACTTGGGCAAAGGTGTGACATGTGAAAATGCCAGAAACAGAAACCGTTGATTCAGATGAAAAATATTTACTTCAAACCCACTCTGATCATTATTGGAGAGATGTAGACTTGTCTGAGGCTGCAAATGACTCACTGAATATCCCTTATGGCAGAATGTTGTAGACTTGCCATGGTACGCCAAATACCAGAAAAACAATAAACTTAATTGCATACTGAACAACTGAACGAGTGCAAATGGGACCAACAATTCAGTGGTTCAGACATTTACATAACACACCAATGGAGATACCTAATGTATGTATATAACTGTTTGAATCAGGGGCGTAGCCATCATTTCAGAAGCGAGGGGGACAGAAATGTTATATATATATATATATATATAACATTTCTGTAATCTATATAACCTACCAGTCTGAATTTAAATCTATATTTATTCACACCGGCTCTTGAAACACGTCCCCCGCGTCATCTACGCCCCTGGTTTGAATTGTGTAAATATTATGCTTTATGCATGTCAAAGTCACCCAGTCAAAAGTCAAAGTTGAAGTTTTTAGGCCTGTATGTCAAATATCAGAATCAGAATCAGAATCAGAAGAGCTTTATTACCAAGTATGGTTACACACACAAGGAATTTGACTTGACGACAGGAGCTTCCAGTTTCCAAAATAGAATACAACAAGCAGTAGGTCTATTTATTGACAATTTTTTACAAGCACACCACTGAAAGTAATTCACTAGAATAAAATTAATTATTTAATACTAATAATTAGGCATAATTAGTAAAGCATGACATTAATGACCAAATTTAATGAACAGATTTGTCAGTCACCCCTAGCCTGGCTACATGAATAACAGAAAATGTGATTTAGGCTATTGAAAAAAGCTTAAAACAAAGGTTCCAAAAGGGGGTTTTCACATCGGTGCCACTGAAGAGTCATTCTGAATTCCTTCAAGAACCTTACAGTGAACAGTTCTTAAAAGAACATTTTTTTCTTAGTGTAAAGAACATTTTAATAATCTAAAGAACTGTTTTCCACTATAAAGTACCCAACTGTTTAATGGAAAGGTTCGGTGGATGTTAACGGTTCTTCAATATATATATAAATAGGAGTAGATTTTTAAGAGTGTTAGTACTTGGAATGCATATCTCTATATTAAAGTAAAACATAGTATTGTTTGTATATATTTATAATATTTAAAACTTATGTGGTAATTAACTGATATAGCAATCAACTGATATGCAGCAAGATAAATGGCGAAGTCCCTAGAATATAGTCCATTACTTTGTATAGCCCACTTGCATACAGTCGTAAAGTTTTTTGATTTGATCTTTTGATTGGTTCAACGAACTGTCACTCAGACGTCCGCATCCAATCCTAGAGAGGGGGCGACATCTTGTTGCCTGGCAGCAAGAGCCGCAAACAACAACACATAGTAATGTGTGAATTCGCGTAACTTAGTTGTAAAGCAGTTACAAATGTGTACTCACTCTTTTAGACCTAATGATACAAATGTATGGCCATTATTTTTAAACTGTTTTTAACCGATTCACAAATTAATTTAAAGATGTTTAAATCAAAATTACGTCTTTAATTTCTTATGTTTTTATTAAACGCGCGTTTTAATGATGTTGTGAGTGTCAGTGAGAGTGTGGTGGACAGAAAGGGAGGAGCCGCACTAAATAAGGCTAATGTTGAAGTTTCCAGAGGTTGATGTCAGTGTAACTGGATTCCTCCAGTCTGGGAACAACTGGGAACAAGATGGCTGAGGGGGGACTGGAAAACTGCTTTTCCAAACTCTCACAAAAGCTGGACTGAAGCCACCCAGAGAAAAACATGCAAGTATAAACTATTCTTATTTTTCGAAGCGTCTCTTTTTCCAGACAAATACCTTTCTGCGGTTTTTGTTGTTGTATGAAGTTTTCACTCGGATTTTCTCGCGTATTTCTATTACATAACATCGTAAAATTGGATATTGAGAGATTTAAAAAGCTGAAACGATAACGTTAGCTATTCAATAACTCTGACTTGACGGAAATCAAATTCGAGACGTTTTGAATTAACGTTAGTGTTTTGAGTTTTGGCAGCTTCCCAATAACCCAGCGTTAAAGAGCGACTAAAATGAAGACGTGTGTTTATGTTAGGTTACTGTAAATGACACGATGAGCTCCAGTCGCGTCCGTCCTCAAGCACCGCAGGCCCAGGCGGCATCCGCATCCTCTCCGCCTTATGAAGGGATCGAGATGGAAAAAATGCATCATGAAGAAGTGGGCCTCGGAGTGCCCGATGAGACCCCCTCTCCACCCACCTCCAGCTCCAGACAGGCATGGAGCCGGGATAACCCAGGGTTCGAGCCGGAGGAGGGGATGATGGAAGCGGACTGGCCTCCGGCGAGCCCCGGCCGGAGGTCAGTGTCCACGGCGTCCAGCAGCAGCATCAGTGCGCGGATCAACAGAGGACTGTATCCAACTCCACCAGCACAAGAACACAGCAGCTGTGGGAAGAGGATACTGGAGAAAATGAGAGGTCAAACTGTTGCTAGGATTATTGTGGTTTATGTTTCACTACACTGAAAATGTAAACACAATTATGTGACCCTGGACCACAAAACCAATCATAAGCGTCAGTTTTTTGAAATTGAGTTTTAAACATCATCTGAATAAATAAGCTTTCCATTGATGTATGGTTTGTTAGGATAGGACAATATTTGGCCGAGGGCCGAGTTACTAATCAAAAATTAAGTTTTGATATATTTACGGTAGGAAATTTACAAAATATCTTCATGGAACATGATCTTTACTTAATATCCTAATGATTTTTGGCACAAAAGAAATGTCGATAATTTTGACCTATACAGTGTATTGTTGGCTATTGCTACAAATATACCCCAGCGACTTAAGACTTTTTTAAGGTTTTGTGCTCCAGGATCACATATAGTAAAACTTGTAATAGCCTTGCTAGGATGGGTTACACTTTTGATAAAGTTGCCTTTTCATAAAGGGCCAAGATAATGTCTTAAGTAAAAGGTAAAAGGGGTCCTATTTATAATGTACTTAACGCAAGCATCCCAAAAATATGTATCATGGTTTCCTTGTAACTTCTAAAGTACCTCAGTATGAAATAAGGGTTTAAAAATGAGTTGTATTTCAGGGTTAATAGTTAGTCTGTATTAATTATGACTTAACCTTAATTTGTAAGTGAAAAGTGCCTAATTATATAGCTAGGTAAACGTGATTTTGTGAATTAATGGAAGATTTATTTCTTTATCTTTTTCAGTGCTGTGGGATACCCGTCTTTTGGGTGAGAGCAACAGTAACAGAGAGATGTACCTGAAAACTGTCCTACGAGAAATGATCACCTACATCCTCTTTCTGGTCACCCTCTGCATATGTAAGTTGAATATCGGACAGTTTCATGCTTGAATATGTTAATGCATACCATGTTACATTCTTTTACATGTCCTTTCCTTACATGTTAAGAGTAATAGGCCTTAAAAATATTCATCAGATTAAGAATCTGTTTAATTAGAGCACAAAACGTAATGATACTTAAAAAGTATAACAGTTTTTTATTTTTTATTTTAATTGCTATAGTATGAGTTGCCATTCAGCATAGAGAATCAGATGTCATAATGGAAAAAATATTGCTCAAATTGTCAGTTTCCCTGGTCTGCTCCAGCTCTGGCGGTCTTTCTTTCTGGTATAACAGGCACTTTAATCCTCGTAACAACCACAGCAACAATTTACATTTTTGAGTATTTAGAGTCTGCTCAAATGCATTTTCATTTTACATTTATGCATTTCAGACTTTTCAGATTTTTAAACAACTTACATTGCATATACAGTATACAGTACATTTGATCAGTTAATGCATCCTTTGGGAATTGAACCCATGACATTGGCTTGTACCATGCTTTACAGCTTGAGCTACAGGAACACAAATAAATGAATCCATATTAAAAGTGCACAACATTTTTTATAGTGAACATTTTAGGAGCATCTAACTGCTCTCCGATATGCTCTACCATCTACAGAAACACAACATGTTATTCTGTTTAAGACACATTATTGATATTTGTTTTAGTAACCTACGGAATGGTGAGCACCAACATGTACTACTACACCAAAGTCATGTCCCAACTATTCTTGGATACACCGCTGACAAGCGGAGAACCGATGACCTTCAAGACTCTTTCAACCATGGAGGACTTCTGGAAAGTAATTATTCCACTGACTTGAATGCTCTTTTACAGTATGAAAATGCACAGTAGTTCCAATTGCATCACAGATGTTAATGAAAACATTATCTGTGTAGTTCACAGAAGGCCCTTTTCTTAATGGCATGTACTGGGAGTTCTGGTACAACAACAAGAGCCTCCCAGAAAACCAGAGTCTGATCTACTACGAGAACCTCCTGTTGGGCGTCCCACGTCTCCGGCAACTCAAAGTACGCAATGAGTCCTGTTCTGTCCATGAGGACCTGCGGGATGAGGTTTACGACTGCTACAGTGTCTATTCTCCCGCCACTGAGGACAAGTCAGCATTCGGATCGAAGAATGGGACAGCGTATGTAAAAATACACGTATATTTTGAATTTATAAAATATTGGCTGATCTTTGGTCTTAAACAGGTTTGTCATTCCGTTTATTTGTCAGGTGGAGGTACTCCGAGGAGAGCAGGCTGGGTGAGAGCAGCTACTGGGGTCAGGTGTCAACCTATGGCGGTGGAGGATACTACCAGGACCTGTCACGCACTCGAGAGAAGTCAGCCAATCAGCTGCAGGAGTTAAAAAACAACCTCTGGTTGGACCGTGGCACTAGAGCAGTGTTCCTGGACTTCTCCGTCTACAATGGCAACGTTAACCTGTTTTGTATTGTCAGGTAATGAACTGAAGCTGTGTTACAAGTGCATTAGATTTAATACATTTTTGCAATTAATTCTGCCCAAACCTTTAACATACAGACTCCATTTAAACTATCAAGCTTTTTTGTAAACTTTTTGTACTTGTACTTTAAAAAAAACAAAGAAATTTGCAATTAAAGTTATTCATTAATAGTCAAAGTTTTATGATGGATTACATACGGAATTGTGATTGTTTTCTTGCTTGCATTTGTTTAATGTTAATATATATATATCATTTAAATAACTATTTAAATGAAAATGAATGTAAATAACTACATTTAAATAAGTATTATATATAATAAAATATAGCGTAGGTTTAACATTCTTCTACTTTTAACATACAGACTCCATTCAAAATATCAAGCTTTTCTCTACTTTTTACTTATAAAGTATAACTTTTTATATTTTTTTAAAGAAATTTAAGTTTTAAGAACCTTTTTTAGGATTAAATTTAGCATTTGTGATGGTGTAATTTGCCCACCATTTGAACACTCTTTCTTGCATTTATTTAATTTAAATATATTAAATAATTTAAACGACTATTTAAGTGTAAAACATTAAAACAAAAG